TATATATATACATTTTAATTACTGACTTTTTTGACCAAAATAAAGTTTTCTGCATGAAATTTGACTTGTTATTCATCTCAAACCAATTAATTTTTTTACAATTTTTGCTCTCTTCATCAGTTAAAAGTTAGTTTGTTGCGTGAAAAAAAATGTCCTTTAGTTTTATTCTTTTTTCGTTAACTTTCTTCAGCATTTTTTTCATCATTAGAATTTCTCAATAACTGCATAAAAAATAAATGAAATTTCTGATCATTATCGGTACAATATTTTTGGAAAACAAAATGAACAGATAAAAGAACCTTAAAGAATTTTTTAATACGAATATAGAAGAATATAGAAGAATAGTTCTATTATCTTATAAAAATTAATGTATATCTGATGAATAACTTCAATATAATAATGTACTTTATGACCAGATACAATTTACAAATTTCTGCGCAGAACCTGCGAATAGATATGGAAAGAAATAAAGCAAACGAAGAAAAATAGAAAAATCAGTAATCTTTATCAAACATTACATGAAATAATCAGTTCAAATAATTAAACAAGTTTCATTTATCGTAAACAAAAAAGTTCTTTGATTAGAAGCACTTTTTCAAAAGATATTTTAAACATATACTTGTAGTGGATATCATAACTTCTGAAGATATTGCAGTAAACTTACCCTTGCTTTCAATCAACTTTAAAAATATCTGGAATAACAATTGCAAATACTAACTTTAAGTTACAGCAGTTTTCAATAAAGTTAATATCATCATTCGCCAACCACGCATTTTCTCGCAAATTTTGGCAGATAAGAACTGCTTGCAACAATGATAAGTTGTAATTATTATTTCTGATTTACACACTAACAAGCAATTTTTTCCTGAATTTATAATAATTTTGGAATATTCAATTACTAATTCTTTTAGAAGTGCCATGACAAGGATTATTTAATGAAAAGTAGTACATTAATTTCTGTTGCATAATGGAATCATAGTGGAAAATACATTTGAATACGCAAATAGCAGATGAAAAGTAATGATGAAAAACAGAAAATCCAAAATCTTTATGCTACAAACATCATCTCATGCGTAAAATGTGAAAATTAATACTGATAAATGTTCATAAATAAAAATACAAAGAATAAGCCTTCTAATATAAAATCGTTGTAGAAGTCTGTAATGTTGACAAATTAAAATCATGCATGAATGAATCAGACACAGTGAATCTAATGAATTGCATGGCGTGTAAAATGTAGTGATAATGAAACAAATGAGGTGTTAAATTACTGATGAAACTGACGTTGCAGAAATAAAAACAAGATTCTCAAGGCATAAGGTTCATAAAGTTAAAGTTAACGAAGATTTATGCAATTTCAAGAAAATACTGATGCAAATACAATTCAAATACTGTTTAGTTTAAATTATGCATATGTGCACTTTCGACGTAACAAATAAGTTATTGACTCTTACCGAAATGAAATAAAGTCCTACAAACTTATATATATATATAGAAATGTGAAGGTTAGTTTGTTTTTGATTTCGCTTTATTGATTCTGGCACTGGATCGTATTCTGGCATTCTCGCTGCACTCGCCCAGTACTCAGTTCAGCTGTATTTTAACAGTTCAGACTAGCTCATTTCTGCGCATCTTGTACACCTTTGCATGTCGAGTTTTCTTTTCTATTTCGCTATATAGGAGTGCTTTCTGACCTACTAATACGTTCTCGAAGATCGGATTTTCTACGAGGTTGTACTTAGTCTTTAGATAAGGTACAGTAACTGCTAAGTACGTGTTATGAGCTTTCTCCTGCTTCAGAATCGCTGCACTTCTGGTAGATATGGCAGCACTTTCTACAAGTACGGTATGAAGTTACAGAAGCATAAGTTCACTTCGTTGTTCGACACAATGAAGCCCACATCCTAGCTCGTCCCTTGGCAGGTACAGTCTCTCCAACATGCAGGTTAGCTGTAAATCAGGTATCCTATGTAGTAAATCTTCAATGCACTTAATCAGGTAATCATGATTAACTGAATCGAACGGTGTTTTTGATCTCATTCCCGTAATAGCTAGTTTTTTAATTTCATACCATGTAATTTCAGTACTTCCTGCAACTGCCTGGTTCAATAATGCCTGTTTTTCGCATTTTGAACCTGGGAAACTTTTTGAGTATCTATAAGTAGCCTCCTATTGGCAACATCCAACTGCATGACAAGTGCCACACATTCCGATGTCAACTTTTAAAGGTTCGACATACAAATCACTGGCTTGAAGTCGTTACCCTTATTTGGTAATAAGGAATCTGGTACGTGGTCCCTTCGTAAAATCATGGCCCTGTTCTTCCCCAGTCAGGCATATCCGTCTTGTAATTTTGTACAGATCTGGATGAACGAGATACACTGCTTAGTGGAGAAATTATGGACTACATCAAGGCCCACTGCTTTCCAGTTGAGCAAATAAGAAACTATTGTTCCAAATTCGGCTTCAGAGAAGAAGGTATGATGCACTTGATGATCTGGAACGAATTCTTCCAGATAATTGTTGTGCCGAATGTTATTATCTTTCATTTCCGAATTCCACAACGTGAACTTTCTGGTTTCTTCTGTTCCTACAGTTTGGCTTTCAGGTTGTTCTTCGGTTAGTTTTCTATAAACTACCTTCGAAACAGATCAAATCTGACGCTTTGGATTTTGAATGCACATGATAGCTGATAACTTTTAATTTTATTTTCATAAACTTACTTTCATAAACTCTCACACGTTCTGTCAGCATGCGTGGGGCTTTATGATCTCCGCTACTTCGTCCTCGTCGAATCCACAGCGCTGATTGAATGAGATGCTTTCGGGCGTTTGCTTGAGCACTATCGACTGGATATAAGCCTCAACGTGATCAGATATTCTGATTTCTTCCGCGTAACGTTTGTGGAAGTTCGTCATTATCCCATCCCAAGTCATCAAATACGGAATTAATTTAGTCCTGCAAGTCATCTCTGCCCCGAGTTTACTAGCTAATAAATGTATATATATATATATATAACTGATTGGTTATTTAAATCCATGTGTTATGTAATTTACATTAATGCACGTAAAGGATAGAAATTAAGTCATTCAAATGGCATCATTGCTCGGTGCATTGCATTCTATATATTGCGTTGATCTGCCAATAACTTCCAGAAATTTTCAGTACGAATTTTATCCTCCAAATTCAACATTAAGAAGGTTAAATGGTTCGGCTATAACGCACAATGCTACACACTGCACACTCGAGCACACAGCATAACTCTTAAATCGATGGTAATCTTCTCGCCACCAGGTAACCGAACAGGCATTCAGTTTTAACTAATACGTAAAGTAATTTGCTTGAGCTTATTTTTTGCACATTTCGTCACAAGTTTTCATCAGTTAGTCATAAGTATTAGTCATGAAGGCTTTCCCTTCTGCATAATCTGAATTGGTAGGCATGTCATTCATTTTATTTATTTGTATTGGTTAGAACTGTGGATGTGTAAGCCGCAGTCGTTTGGCATTGTTGTATTGTTTTTAGTTCTGTCTGGCTCATTTTGCGCTTGAACTTGTAGTTGTCAGTGTGATTGAGCTACTCGAATAAGATAACGTAATGCTCAAACACACTCTCATTAGGCTCAAGTAATTGTTAATATAAAGTTTGTAATATTATTTCACCACTTATATTAATGTTATGTAAACACTGTATCGATCTGTTAGAGTTAAAATTCTTTGATACTAAGCTAATCATTTTATGTTGATCGCTTCACTTTTTTGTCGGATAATGCGTTCAGAAATTGAAGATACCATTTAACAGTACTATATTTACTCTCTAAAATAGTATCTCTCCTTTTTAGAACGATTAGTATCGCGGAATCGCACGTGACCTGCAATCATTGTAACAGACAATAAAAACAAATGCTCCAGTACATTTTATAATGTTTTTAGTTTGTCCGTAGTGTAGAGTTTGCTGATATCGAGTAAAAAATTTCTAATTTTGTAATTGTATCTGCGAGAATAAGCCAAGAGCACTCATATTGATAGTCATTTTCGTACTAATACGACTAAAACTCTGCATTAGAAATTACTGTAATTTAATAAAGTTGTCTTTTCTTTGAATGATACGAGTTAAGAAGTCATCAAATACATTTAAAGAAGAGCTTATAAGACATTTATTCAAATTATTACAATTTCCTCTTGTTATTTCATTACAAAATCTGTACTTTTTAGTTTGCTTTCCAAAGCAAATACCGCTGTATAAGTTATGTTTTTCTATGGAGTAGTCATTTTCAGTTGTAATTACGTAATGGAGCAAAAAATAAATTTATCATTAAAAAAAAGTATGCTAACTAGTAAGATTTATTTGTATTTTTGAAATTAATATGCAAACGACGCTGTTATTCATCATGTAATTTAAAAGTTGTATTGAATATTTTATATTTCAGAAAAATTTACAAACTGCTAATCGATACATTACTTGGTCTTTCACTTACTAGATAAGAAATGAGCAGAATTGATCAACCGCACGAAGTAGCTAATCAGGGGCAAGTAATAGATGGTGGCGAATCACCGGATGCTGCTCAAGCTTTGGCTGCTGAAACAGCACAAAGACAAGCACTTCCATTACCGAATCAATTTGGTATGTTTGAAACTGCAATCATCGGAAACATTTGAAATAATGTGAACTGAAAACTTATTTTTATTATATTTATAAATACTGTCACGAAAAATTACATGCTAGCTTATAAGGAAAATAAGTTGTAAACTGTTCACCAAAAGTTGCGATTCCCTTATTCATATTCAATGAAGTTATGATTTCAGGTGCTGTACGAGATAGATTATTTCATGCAATGCTTGTTCGTGTAGCAATTAGTTATAACCGACACGTTCCCCTACTGGGAAAACGTTTCATTGAGTTTTCAGTTTTAATTACGGTTTGTGCTTTTAGCTTTCTGAACTTTTAGTTACTAATTTTTGTAGTCTTCATCATACTTTGTACTTGATATAAACGCTTATTTTGAGAAACGATATTTCATTATTTTCAGGCAATGACACTACTTAGTGTCATGATTTATGTACATTATTTTTTCGATAAAACGGATAGCAACTGTTTAGCTCCACTTATTGATAAATGGCCCAGAGATGGTGTTTTACGTGTAGAAGTTATCAGGAATTTGGAAAAATTTAATGCATATCAAGATAGATTGATAGGCAAGAAATGTTTGCTTTCATTAAAGAAGTATTTTTTTTTTGAAAAAAATTCTCGGGTAGTATCATTTTGCACTCGTGAATCAATTTATTGCTCTTCGAAATCTCATGTTTAAGCATCGTTTAGAATTCAATGTATTTTGTGCTCTATACCAATGCATATAGCTATTTTCTAAAAAAGCACTATTAATGTTTTTGTTTCTTTTCATAAAATTTTGAACAGCTCGTTTTTTAGTAACGTATGAAGTCCGCAATTTTTCAAGCAGCTTAGCAATAATATCTGCTCAAAAAAATATATTAATTTAGAAGAGTCGTATGCATTGCAAAAGGAAAACAGCAATTCATCTGTTTATGATTTAAGACGTGTGTTGTTGGAAGGTCCCAGTGCTTTACCAAAAGAATTGCGAAGTGCTCTGAAACCTTTTATCCAGTATGTTTTGTTTTAGATTAAGAAACCGTGAGTATCATAAAATGCAGGTGATGAACTAAAAAAGTTTTGTCCGAAATAGCACTTTTTCTAATGTGAATATCGAGTATAAAAAGTTAATGACCATTTTTTGCTTCTTCGATTTCTTCCATTTAGTTCACTGTTGTGCATCCATTTTCATTTCAGGAAAAAGAACAATCACTGGACCAGCTTTCTAACTTCAGAAGATATGTTATTTAGTTTTTTTCTAACATCAGAAAACATTTTAAAGAAGAGACATATAATAGAAGAATCAAATAGTGACGAATTGGACAAAAGAACTTCTGATTTATTTGGTGCAATCTTTAAATTTCTGTTTGGTTTTTTGTATTCTTAGTATTTGGTAAAAATTTCGACAAATTCGTGCGAAGCTTTAAAGTTTTAGAAAGTGGGAAGTAGGAATTCATTTCTGGCTTAAAATTTGTATCTAAAAGTTATATCTGTTAAATAAAACTATCGAAAGTGATTTTGTCTTGTTTTTCAAATCCCTCTTACTATCAGCTTCTGAAAAATGACTTTGCCTACGCCATAACTTTCATTTCAGTTTTTTTTTAAATTTTATGTTTGTATTAGGACAGTGATTATGCCTTGACAGTGCTGAGAGGTTTCTTTATAGGTTCATTCTTTGCTGTTGACAAACAAGATCTGTTTCATTACTTGAGGGAAACAGAATAGTTCAAAGTAAATTACAAAAACATGTTTTTATCTGGAATGTATTTTAGATGATTCGGATGCAAGTTTTGAATATGTTGTGGAATATTCTTTACATTATGGCTTGCTAAAATTATCTCACCCTTATCGTATGGAACACAACATTCCATTTCTACTTGTTAGGGTAGTGTTTCTTTTATTTAGGTTTGAAATTTAGAAAATGAGGTTTTTTGATTTTTGTTCACTGCTTAGTTCCTGGTGCCGTGAATTCTTCGTAAAAATATCTGCAGGAGTTTAGTGTTTGTGCAAACAGTTTACCGATAGTAGATCAGTAATAAAACGTGATTTAGTATTTTCATAAGTTTTCTGAAATATATTTTCATACGAATGTCAGTAACTCGTAACTGTCTTAAGTTTTTATGGCTAAGCTTCGCATAGAGACCGAATGTAGGGCTGAAAAAATATTTTACGGAACTTTTGGGATCATAAAGTTTAATTCTATTGCATTTAAAAATGTATTAACTTTATTGCATTCACCAAACCTATTCTTGTAGCTAGATCCTGAGATCGACAGTTGTTTTGGTGACTGGATTAGTCGAACACTGATGAAGTATTTTATTGGTTATGAGGATGTGTTAATGACCTCAGTTAAAGCACTAGCAGAAAATGAAACAGAGAAGGGTCTACTGATTTTTTCTTATGTTTTAAATTTTTATGAAATTAAAATTCAATAATCATTGTTGTTATTTATTTTTTAATGAAGAAATGTTGAAAATCTTATATTTAAGGTTATTTACGTGACATGATTACGGGAGAGCATTATCGTTTTGTTACTATGGGCAGTCCGAGAACCAGTTACTTTACTGCTTTAATCGTCATGTTAATTTTTGTAAGGATTGCTTTCTTTTCGGCGTTGATATCATAATTTAATAATGAAAATTTATGCTCAAGTAATGCTATAGAAAATTGAAAAAAGTACTGCTGTGAAATTAAATTTTGCAAATTTTAAACTTGAATGATTGCAGACGTTTGCAATATCTATGTTACTTCGTTTTTCACATCACCAAATATTCTTGTTCATTGTCGATTTATTACAAATGTTTGAGCTAAATCAAGCATTGGTATTTCCTGCAGCGCCACTTCTCACTGTCATCTTAGCTCTTGTTGGTAGGCTTTTGTTTTGAAATGTTTCAGAAATATATCACTGCAAAATAGTATCAATAAATTTTCTATAAAATTTATTTTCATGGATGTTTGTCACTCAAGTATGTTACTGAAATTAGGCGACAATAATTATTTTTCAGAAAGTTAATTCTTGAACTGACTCTTTTTACCTTTTATTTGGAGGATGTTCGAGTTAATTAATCAGGAAAATATTTCATTACTTATTAAAAACAAGAAACAAACTAGTAAGTACAATAATAAACGAAACAATAGTGCAAGAGAGAACATCGTCAGAGATATGAAGGAATAAAGTTGGAAGTTCTAGTTACATTTCAAGGTATGGAAGCTATAATGTCAGAAGTATTCAGTGATACCTCAACAGCATTTTATGTAATATTGTTGGTGTGGATAGCAGATCAGTATGATGCAATTTGTTGCCATTCACCTATTAGTAAACGACACTGGTTGAGGTAAGATTACTTGTTTCCGAGCTCAATTTGAATTTTGTACCAACGCAGCTTGAAGCTGAGCATTTTAAATTCAAGTGCCTGATATTCATTTTTATTTTCTTTTGAATTTTCATCTTATTTCGTTTACTTTTTTATCTTATTAACATTCTAAATGTAAACTGTGGATTTACGTCTTATGTAATTAATGATTCTGATATCTTTTTTTTCCAGTAACAAAAAAAATGTGCTTTCCTGGCAACGGTTTGCTTAATCTTGTAGTAATGATCGTCATCACGGTTGCTTATTCTAATTTAAAGTTTTTAAAGCCTGATTGAGCAAATAAAATCTTGTAGATCTTTCACAAAACCTAATTTTTCTTCTTCACCATTATACTTTCATCTTAGAGGAAAAATATGAAAACTGTATGCTGTTCGTTCTCATAGAGTTGGAACCGGTCTTAAAAATTAGTGTGATCGATAGCATGATCATTTAAAAGTGAAACTTCCGAAATTAATTGTCAATGTAGAACGTTAGGATGATGATCACTAGTTTACTCTGTTAAGTCTTGTTTAGGTTTTCCAAATATGCTCTATAATTTTTTGTTGTTGTAAGTGGGTGACACAGTCTAGTTCTCTTAAAGCTTTTGATATTGTCTTATTAGAATGTAAGTTTAAGAGTATAGTCTATAAGTATGCATCTTTCTCAACAAACTGTTCTAAGTAATTTTAAATGGAATTAGTTTCTGAAAAATTTTTACTGGCTGTCAATATATGTTCAAGGCATCCTTTGCATTTGGAAGTGTTTAAAGTTTTAAAGGTAAAGTCAGTGAGAAAATTCCATTTTTGTTGCATGAAATTAAGTTGTTATTCAATAAGTTGCATCAATTTTTTTCTCTGCAAACGTATTGAGTAGTTAGAAAACAGTGTGTGAAAGTATTTATCAGTGCATATCAGATTTTCTTCATTTTTAATCCGTTTCGTGTGAAGCCTGTTAATATATCGTAGTAACCTTTGAATGAATATTTCCATTTGAAGTTGTTAACTTTTTATTGTTTACTTACCGCATCAAATTAAATTTTTTGTCCCAATTTTTGGCCTGGAAGTTCCCGATTTACTGGAATGAAGTTTCGATTACGTATTTCTTGCTTGTAATTATTTTAACTTCTTACGTTTGAACTATGGTGCATTATATTAAGCCTCTTTATGCATTAATTAAATTTTGAAGCGATAAAACTGCTGATTAAAATTTTTGTTGCTAAGGAAAAATTATCGACTTCAAAGATTGTATGTAATTTATTAATTCTTGCTGTTGTTAAAGCTGTTTGATTCAATATTTCCAAATTCCAGATTCTTTTACTTGTATCATTACGCATTTTATGCTTATCAGTATCGCTATAATGGACAGTACGGTGGTTTAGCCTTACTTACTTCATCGTTATTCATTTTGGTAAATTATTTCTTGTTTTTAGAAATTTTATATGAGGTTTGTAATCAGTGACCGTGTCGTGAAAGCATGTTTGCAGCAAAACGAAATACACCAGGGAGAAAATTTGTTTTCCGCTATGTTTTATAAATTTTTTCTCTATGTAATGGACAAAATTTTTAGAATTTAAATTTGTGCCATTTGTTATTTTGTAATATCTACTATTCATGTAATGCTGCAACAAACATTTCATCAATTTTCATGTAGCATTCGATGATATTTTTTTTCCATCACTATGAAATGCCTTTAATCGTTTACCATGAACGACTGCAGCGGATTATCACGGATTTACAGCACAATCCGGTATGTTTTTTCGGTTTTTAAAGTTGGAAGCAAAGATGTCTGTAAGTACTTTTGTCTATGTATATTCGTGATGAAAGTCATTGTTTTCATCTTACAGATCAAATAAATTTTACATATTTAAAATTACTTAATACATGGTTAATATTTCTAAAATCATTGGAAAAAAATTAATTCAGTGATCATGAATTCAGGTTATTTATAATAATTAAGTACATGCTGAGAACTTACGAAACTTCAAAGAAATTTAATTAGGATATGTAATATTCTGTTGTGCAGTTTTTGGTGCTTGGTATGGAATATTTTTTTATCAACGCAACTTTATTTTATAATTTTTTAGCCTCAGCAACAGAGAGAAACGACGAATATTTCTGCGACATCTTCAGCATTTTCCTCTGTTGATGCTACCTTAGAGATGGCATCTACAAGAGCTTTGTCTGTTGAGGTTGCGGAGAGTGGAAATGGTCAGGAGGATGAAGCTTCGACATCAAGAGTTGAAATTAGCATCAGATCTAGACAAGAAGCGCCTAACAGATCTCTAGAATCAAATGAAAATATTAGCTCATTGGGCCGTATAATAACAGTAAATGACTCTTTGTTAATAGCCGGTGAACGTACCGCGCGTGAAATTATTGATAGTGTTATTGACAGTGTGTTCAATACAACAACATCAACTTCAATGGCTGAAACATATAGCTCTTCTTAAAAGTTTTAATTTTGATTGTATTTTGTCAGACGTGGTTAATCAAAGTTATTTGTAGAAATTGGATTTTATTTTACTTGATTCATACCTATAAAATTATTGGCTCCATTGTTTAGTGTATCACAGATTATTAAGCCTAAATGAAATAACAGGTGAAGAGGTCATTATTTCAAGTTTTTATCATAGGAGTAAAGAGCCGGATAGATGAGGAAGGACTGTGGTAGTTTAAAATGTATTTTAGCTGCTAACTTTTTGGAGGTAATAAGTTTTTTCTAATTTGGAGGATATTTCGATGTTTCCAATGCATATTTCAAAGCAATATGGTTCTTAATTATTTTTTTTTACTGTGGCTAACATCGGTGAACTATTTTTTTAGAGCACTGGTTACCAAACAAATGATTTTGTCTTTTCATTTTTTTATTCTCAAAAAGTTGTATATAATCAGTACGTGCAAATATATTGCATAGTGATAAATATTTGTATCAGAAACTGACGATTCTAACGGATCATATATTGTAGAGATTAGTTGTTAATTATTACTTTCTCTTGATAAGACTTGTAGCTTTTCGTTACAATATTAACTGCATACTTAAAAAATTTATGGATTTTATCATAATAATGATCGCATCATTTTTCACTATGCAAAATTTCGTAAAATGTTTGTTTTAGTTTTCGAGACTTCCAAATAGTCTTTGATTATAATTTTCTATCATGAAGTGTATGTTTATTTGTAAATTGTGTCACAAAATTGCTGTATATTTAACCACTCTTGTAAGTTTATTGTATGCGCATTATTTTAGTGCTTAAAAGAAACAAGTGATTTGTACAAAGATATTTCTTGTTCTTCTTGGATGACTAATCAAAATCATTTTGAAAGTCACAGTATTTGTCTTTCGTATTCAAATCGTTTTGAATTTGTAGTAATTCTCTCCCAAGTTGCTTGACTGGTTTGTATTTTGTATCATTTGGTTTTGCTCTACTCTTAGTGGGGAGTGAAGTCTTTACGTCAGTGTTTCGTTCTAATAATTAGTTTGGTTCTCATGCCAACATTTAATTTTGTCTTTAATTTTTCACAAGTTTTTTCGAAATTTTGTTCCAGAATTATCTTGAACTTTGCTTCTAAAAACAAAAGTAGCTGTATGGTACTTCTTTACCCAAACATTGGTTTTTATTATGCAAAATTATCAGCCCAAAAAATTATGCTTTTTCTTTCTTGACCATTTTAACGTAACATTTTGGTTTCTGTGATGCATCCAACTCCAAAATATCGTATCACAGATGAGCAACGGACTAGTGTTTATGAACCTGCTGATGACACATTTTTGTTATTGGATGCGTTAGAAGAAGACATCGAGGTAAAATAGATGAAGAAGCTTTGAATTCAGTTTCATGAACGTCTTAATCAATATAATGTTCACAGAAATAGATATGCAGTCCTAATTCATTACTCAAAGTTAGTATGTGCTATCAATAAGTGTTTTAGGCCTTACGAAAGCTAGATCCGGTGGTAGTTATTGAAATTGGAAGTGGCTCTGGTGTAGTTTCCGCATTTTGTCAACAACTGCTCAGACAACCTGTCATCAATTTCGCAACTGATATGAATTTCTATGCTTTAAAGGTTTAAAATTGTTATTTTGGTTAGGATAACTTTATTAATTTTTTTCTTGCATTGGCTTCTGTATTTTTTATATTTTATTTTCACTTCCAATTCTTAGTAATAAAATATGTAGTAATTATGATTGCTAATTTAAATTAACTATAGATCTTCTAATTTCCTCATATTTCCATATTACAGTGTACTCAAAATACAGCACAGCTGAATAACGTGTTAGTAGAAACAGTTCAGTGCGACTTAATGCGAGCAATAGATCATCGCCTGCGTAATCAAGTTGATGTGTTATTGTTCAATCCACCATATGTAGCTACAGAACAGGAAGCTACTTCAGATGCTGTAAGTCAATTTTCATGTTGTTCATACGTTGGTGATAATGATGTTTTGAAAACCACTTGGTGTAAACTTATTGGTTGAAAGTATTTTTCATTACTTAATAGAGCATATTTTTTTAAACAATTAAGAAACACCTCAAAATTGGCAATTTTTTTGCGAACTGCTCGTACTCGTAATAATTTTAAACTAGTTGAACTGATTACTAAGAGCTTTACACAACTGTAACTCGAATCCTTCATTTACTTAAAAAATTTTATGGTGTGCTTTTATTACAGGAACGTTGTTGGGCTGGTGGTCCAACAGGGCATAATGTTGTTGATCGAGTTTTTGCTCAACTTCCAGAAATTTTGTCTCTTGGAGGTTTCTTCTACGTTGTTGCACTTGAGGCTAATGACATCTCTAAAATGCTTAACTGTATGAACTCACTTAATTTCTCAAGCAAAGTTTTGCTTAATAGAAGATGTGGCATTGAGCATCTTTTTGTTCTTAAATTTACGAGGTGTAAATGAAATAAATACTGCAGAGAGTACAGAATCTTAAGGAATGTGCGCTAAAAATAAGTCAATTATGTTTTTGTCTTAATATTTTTCTCTCATCCTTCATCTCATCAAGAAATTGTTACTGGTATTTTCACAAAACTCAGGAGAAAAAAATTAGAATCTGCTAGTAAACGTTAAATGTCATCGTTCTTTAACTTCAATCACAGATTTTACTAAATGTAGCTCTTACTCATCCTGTGTTAAATTATTGATAGCGTCTCGTAGCACCTATAAACTACTTGGTTGCTTTGATTTTCACCGATAGGTCTTATGAATAACAATTTTGTCGCTGAGTGTTAACGAATATTTGAAATTATTGATGCATTTTTTCACTTGCTCGTTGACCTGTTACTGTTAACAACACATACCAAAAGTATTGAGTTATTAACAAGGAACAGCAAAAAAATGAGGAAAAAAGTATTTCGTGATTTACAAAAAAATTAGTCAACTACAGAATGTGCAGTGAACGATTATTCATAATAATTTTTGAGAAAAAATCCTTATGAATGGTTTCTTAATGAAGGTTTCTAGATGTGTCACATTTTCTGACTATTAAAATTTAATGGGATTTAACAGTTTCAGAAGTTAATTTACTATGTGTAATAAGCTGACCATTATTATTCAAGTTACATATGAAACAGTTACACATGAGGCATTAATTGTTCCTTACAATCTGTCCATCATTGAATTCAAAAAATATTATTCTTTATGCCAGAGACTTTGTGGTAATATACATTTTGCTTCAGGAAAGTTGATTTTTCCTCGTCTCCTAGTTTAATTTGGGATGAATTTGCAATCTACTTCGAAATTTAGAGTAAGTTTCTTGACTTTATTTTAGACTCTAGCTTCTTGTAGTTTGAATTGAGAAAATTATTATTCCTAACGGATGTAAACGCAACTAACTTTTGCAATCTTGTCTCAACAAGATCAGATCGTTTGATCTTTTAAGGTTCTTTGTCTTCATGGTTACCAGCAGAATGCTGCTATATTTCGCGAAAAATCAGGAAGCTTCAGAAGCTATCTTAAACGATTTGCTGATTTTGGTACATTTTCAAATTTTTCAAGCTTGTTAATTATGCTTTTATTTTTCGCTGACATTAATAGAAAATGGAAACATTTTTATTTTTCATTTAGTACTTGGTGTGATAACGCCTAGTATCTGTTTGAGATTTTTGCTTAGTTAGAAGGATTTTTGAAAGGAACTAAGATTAATTTCTCTCAGAAAATTTTTCAAATAAGATTTGTTATTATACTTTTTCTTCAGTTTACATGGATGCTCCACATAAGGTAGATCTGGAACCAAATACGAATGATCTCAAGCAAGAAAGTAAAGATTTATAACACCATGTTTTCGAATAAGAGTTGATGATCATTGTGTGGTAATGGTGTATTTAGAATTTTTCCAATTTTGTCATTGATTATGTTTTTACTATGGATATTCATAAGGTCGTATCTCAATTGATTAATTTTCAAAATATGCAATCATCCATTGTGGTCGTTGTTTAACATATTTCTTTTGTATTTGCATACTGTGTTGTGATAATTAAGTAACCTGTGTCGCAAAAGCTGATTATCGAGCATGGTGGCATGTACCGGAATGCTATAATACTAAGGAAGTGAAATGTTATGAAGGTTTCAGTGATTCAGTATCAGTGATCATTGATTTCATACAAAAGGAAGTAAGTTTTTTTAATTATTTCAAGTCTACAAATAACTTGCAAAAAGTATAAGTTATAAAATTTTTATTTATTGAAATATCATCCATATTAAACGTAACAGGATAATTTCCTATTAGTTCTCGCACTCTAATAAAACATGGTACACAAACTTAAAAAAATTTTTTTTTTTTTGTTTTTGATGGATTATATGATTCACTGACTGGAAACTTTAATTCAGGGTCCTTTTGATGGTATACTTGGTTTTAGCCAAGGTGCTGCTCTTGCTTTTTTATTAGCTGCAATGAAACAAAAAGGAGGTATTATTTTGATTCTAACATTCTCTCAAGTAATTAACTGCTTGGAAAATGAAAAATTTTTGTCTCGAGACAGTTTTCATTTTCGGTTTTTTTTACAGAACCAATTTTTTTGTACAATTTTGAGTACTGACTAAAATTTTATTCTTTAGAAAAGATTTTAATTATCACATTCCAGAATTGGACATCGATTTTAAGTTTTTGATTTTAATATCTGGATTTCCTAGTCGACATATGGAACATTTTGATTTAAACAAGTTACCAATATCACGTGTTCCATGTCTTCATGTTTATGGTCTTGCTGATGAAGTTATTTTTTTGCACAATTTTCTCATTTAATACCATTTTAACTACTGTTTTCAACTTTTAACTTTAAGTTTTAGTTCATGCATGTTTAGTACTTTTCGCAAAATTTTTATTTTTTTAATCAAGATATGCCACTGAGATTCCTTTTGAATTGATTAGTGGAAAACATGAGTGCAATAAAAAAATTCTTGAAAAATGAGCTTTTCAAATTTGTTATTTTCAGATTATCTCATGCGATTTGAGTAAAAAATTGGTGAAACTATTCGACAAAGAAATGGTTGTTGTGGTTGAGCATCCCGGTGGGCATATGATGCCTAGTACTTCGAAGTATAAAACTATGATTGATTGTTTTTTTGGAATTGTTCAAAATTTAGTCAGTGCTTGAAATTAATGTGTCAGTTTAATGTTTTTTTCGTATTACTAGACAAATAATTATAAAATAATTTTTTGGGAAAGAACAAGGTGTCACCGCATTCTTTCAATACACAACCATCTATCTCATGCGTGTGATTATTTTTGTTATCGGTATTTATGACTGGCTAAATAAATTTTTGTTTCTTTGAGTCTTTATGAAATTTTTTCTAATTTTGTGGATAATGAACTGATCAGTTGATTGCATCTTAAACATTGTGCAGTTGATATTGGTTTTTAATTGTACTAAATTACCAGCCGTAGTTTTATGCTGTCAATTACAATATTTAGTTACAACGTTAGTTGAACAGATTGTAAATTTTGTAAGGACCTTGGAATGGTTGTCAGGAAGTGTTTGCACTGCTAGTATTTTTTGTAGTGCTGGGTCGTTAAAATCCACGCGATGTTGGGAAATCGTTAGTGACACAAAGTTCTATATACCTTGGGAATTAGTGAAACCGGATTTAGTACGGTAGTGTTGGGGCCGTTTTTTTTAAAGAGGTATATGGAAATGAAGGCACTTAATAGTAGTAGTAATAATCATAGTAATCAGTTTCGTAGTAGAAGTTGCGCACAGACTTGGATTTATTAATTTCTGTTAGATTGCCGGTAATTGTTTTCTGCAGTTGTCGACTATTTTGTGGTCGACGTTTCCGTTTGTGAACTTTTCGATAAGTTTTATTGATTTTTTCTGAATCTGAAACGCAGGATGTGAAAATGCTTAATGTGAGATTTCAATTATTGAGTCTATTTTTTATTGCTTCATATGAATGAGTCTCGCAAAATCTATTTTAAAATTGTCTTAGTATATTGCAAAAATTAAGATTTTTTACTCATTATGACAGATTTTTGATTTAAGAGCTGATATAATGTTTCCTTACAATTTCCATAGATCTGAAAATAATTCTTGCTTTTTATGAAGTAAACATTGCGAATGTTGATTGAGAAAAAAAGCAATGAAGAAGATATTCATTCATGTATTTCTAACCCATTTCTGAATCTGTATAATTTGTTTGAAAGTTGATAGGATTATCTGATTCAATTTCATCGTTGTTGATCTTTTGAATAGTTTCAAATAAATTGTCATCATGACCATTACTCATTTCTGTAATCATTCAAAATATTCGCACTTTTTGCTCTATTATAAAGAAATTTTCAATCTTATTTACTCAATGCAATTTTAATAGTTTTACTTTGAAGACTTTGTGATTGCAAGCCACCGTCTTGATTTATTCTTGGCATTGAGCATTTTTCATTTTCGTCTTTAAACAATTTTTTGCTCTCATTACAAGGCTTTAAATTGCAAGGACGAGTATGAACAATATATGTGCCATTTCTAAAAACAAAAATGTTCCATGCTAAACGTTTTTTGCTGTCACTTCAAAGTTTTAAATCTCAAGCAAAAAACTGAATGTCAAAATTGAATAGCTTATAGCAATTCACAATTAGTCTTATAGTGTTAAAAATAGAGTTTTTAAATGGAAATTATAATTTTTGAAGACATACTTCAGTGTTAATGAACGATTTTGTCTGCCACAAATACCGCATAAATTTGAGCATTCGCTCCAATCGGTCCATTTATCTGGAGAATTTATTATCATTTTTGAATAAATATAAGAATAGTTAATGAAAGTGGTGTTGAATCTCCTTTAAAAGAATGAAGCAAGCTGAACTGCGCTTAATAGAAAAAAGAATTGTAAATTTAGTGCCTGATATGGCATCTAAAAGATTATTTCTTAAAGGTCGACATTATCTTTAATAACTATGAAGAATATATAATTTTTGCTAATCAGTACTAATAATTAAAGATCATTCTATTTCATGAGCTGCTAAAATAACATACAACTGGACAAGTCATTTGTTGCATCTTTTATTAAATTTGTATCTTTGAACGATACAGTATCAATTGATTGCTCCTGAAATACAATTATTTTATGGTTAAATTTTCAGATATCTGTGACACTGAATAAAAAAATTAATTCTTTAGTTATTTTTTTAAAATTAAATTATATATTTTTTTAATTAAAATTGTGCTACAAAATCTACTGATATTTACGGGTTTAATCATGTTTGCAAGAAATTTCAATGCTATCAAAGACTGAACTTTGTAATGTAGTGATATGAAAATTTAAAATACATACTTGAGAAAATGCATGCAAGAGACAAAAAATTATTGTGAAGAGCCAATTGTTCATTAAAGTAATCATTATGAATTAAATAATAAATGCTCCAGTTTATAAACGTAAATTCTCGATGGTGACTGATAATGACCTTGTAACCCTTGGTTCGTGTTTATAATTGGTCAGTTGTAATCACATTAAGAATTTCTCATATTTATTTAATCATGTACTCAATCTCTCATATTTATCTGATGTGTTTTAAACTATTTACGATACTCATCAAAATCAACATTAAAATGAAAGCTTTAAATCTGTAAATCTGAAAATTGACTATTTATATACCAATCAATTTAACTGTAAAATTTATGTACTTTCGTTGCATCATATAATTTCAGTGTAATTAATGATGGGTATTATTTGATAGGATTTTCGTTATGATCAAAAATTTATATCATTTTTTGTTGTATTTTTCGATTTATCAAAGATAGTTTGGCATTACTGCAATTAATACAAATAAATCTAATAATTACTGAAACAGAAAAAAAATTAGAATTCAATTCTGGTAGATAATTCAATATATAATTTCGGCCACATTTTAAAACAAAAAAATGTGATCGGACTTAAAACAAGTTCATTCAAATTCTATATCATCATTTGTTCAAACAGTATAACCTAATAAACTTCTAAAAAGTCAAATTTTTCTGACAAAATCAAAGAATAAAGCTTAAAGTGTGTATAAAAGTTGTTTATGATTTGAATTATACGTGAAATATACTTTTGATTCTTTTATGCGAAAAAAAATCTGACTTGCTCAAGTCAAAATATATTCAGTGTAAAAATTTATTTTTACACGATAATTATTTAATATATGCAGTCTAAAAATAAGCTTCATTTTCCATCTTAATTAAATTAGGGCACAAAGATGGAGAACTTTTGAATACATAATGCACTTTATACTGCATTCATAAAGACTTGATTTTATCGTGAACGTAATAATAGAAAAGTTTTTATAATGATAACATTACAAACAATACGTTTGCTGAAGTATCTGATATGACTTTGCATATTTTCAGATTCCTTAGTGATACTAACAATAATAATCCTTCACTTGAAATATATAAAGTTTTTGGTTGAAAAATTTTGAGACTATCTTTTGACTATGACTATTGGTCAATGCCTAATTCTGTGAAATCTTTCTTTGCACTAAATTTGAAACTCTTTTTTTGTTTAAAAAAATAAAATAGAAAAAAATAGAAGGAAATGGGCAAATAAATTATGTTTCTCATCTAGAATAAATATTTTAGTTTCCAAGGATATAATGAGATCAATTTTATAGTTTTGATTTTAAGCCTTATATGACTAGTATGGATAAACTGCATGGATTCTTTGTGTCCGTATTCACTTCTACACAATAAATCAAATGAAATATTAGTCAAGAAAAAGTATCAATTGAGACATTGTTGGTCTATATGATAATGCTGAACACAGTGATTGCAAATCAAGGAAATAGATTTTCTGAAATAATCAGTTCTAATTATTTATTGATACTTTTCAATTTGCTTTAGATATTTTTCCTAAATTTTTTCTAATGTCAAAACAAACAGCATTTTTTAAAATTTAAAAATTTTATTTTGTTATGTATAGGTGGTTTCAAGTTTTGAAATTTTTCAATGATAAAAAAACATGGAAAGTATATATGAAAGTATTTGGTAAGTATAAAGCTTTACATAATTGTGTTTTCTTTCATATCTAATGTTTCATCTTCAATTCTATCCTAAAAATATTGCAACAGATATTATCATAGCATTAATTAATGCAGTGTAATAAATAATAATGTATGTATCTCGTGCATTACTATAATAATAATAATAATAATAATAATAATGGCATACAATATTGATGAGAATAATAATGATAAAGTTAATCCTCAGAATAGTGTTTTAAAGAAATAAATTTTCATTTTTATTCCGCTTTTAACAAAGCCTCTTCCACCTGAAAAATATGTTATAAAATGAGCAATTGAAAGTAAAAATAGAATGAAATAAAATGAATAAATTCAGTGCATTACTTAAATAAGAAAATGACTGAGAAACGTATATTATGCGTATTTGTAGATGAAATTTTGATTTGTTCTTCGGCAAACGTAATATATATTTTGTAATCTTTCAAGTTTATCATTTAAAATTTTTTGTAAAAAATTATTTCAAATAATAAGCAAGTAAATTTATTTCTAAAAAAATTTAATAATAAATAATTGGCAAACATATGCATATTTTTGATTGAATGTTGCATGTATAGGTTATCATCTCAGATGAATGCTAAAACTACCTTTAAAAAATTAAAACTACTTGTAGTATTGAAGAAATCCTAAATACCTTCACTTTAACAATAATGATGAGAATAATAATAATAATAATAATAATAATAATAATATTGATTCCCATGGTGGTGCTTCACAGAAATAAAATTTGCATCCTTTTCATTCCAGAAAAAATTAAATTCTTTAATTGAAAATGAACTTCTTTCAAATTCATCATTTTTTCATATTAATTTTTTGTTTTTTATCCTTTACTGACTTATTATTGAACAACAATTAGGACTTTATTAAAATTTGGCATTTGTCAAGACGTTACTTACGCAGCCGAAGTAAATATGAAAAAGACAAAAACGACAATGGTGGAGTAATGTAAGAAAAAGGAAAAGAAACGATCTGATAAATAAATGAATAAATGAAAATAAGATAAAATAAAATAAAATAAAATGGAATGCTTTGTAG